ACAACCCTATTCTCACTGATGAAACCTCACAAGCTTTTCACTACTCTATCGCTGTTTTCATGGCAAATGTTCAGACAAACTATATTCTTTAGTTCAACCATTTCAGACCTTTTCAGCTAAAAGCTACTGTGCCAGATATAGTGGGTCGGCATTCCCTCTGTATCCAATTGTAAAGAAAGAAAATCCACTCTGACAGCTTTTACTCCAAAACTACTATTTAATCGAACAGACTACTGACTATCTTGGAAATAAGCCCCTTCCCAGAAGATAGAACAATAGGGGACAATAATTAAACCTATTCAAAATAGTAAGAAGCAGCAGTATTAGATGTACTTTTTTGGCAGAGGATGTTCTCAGATACCTGATATTGAATATCATGACATTTTCACCTTCAGCCTACACTGCACTTATTCAAACACTGATGGCATTAGCTGTTCAATAACTGTTACTATTTCATTAGAATGATGTGAAATGCTCCAATTGATGCAGAGTTCTGTGTAGAGTAAACTGAAGGTTTTATAATTCATGATAAAAGTGGTGAAAACCAGCGTGTAAGTTGAGAAAGAGTGTGTATAGCTCAAAACAAAGTGGACCAAACAGGAATAGTTTCTGTTATTTTGAATGGATTAGTTAATATTTCACCCAGTCACTTTTTGACAAGTATTTATATGGCACTAATAATGAAATATTACTGTGAAAATAGTTTTATACAACAACAAAGGTCAAAACACACTGACAATTTACTACTTTGTTAGGTCTGAAGTAGAGAAATGTTTTATAATCTTATGACCGTTGCTATAGTAATAGAACTAAAGCATGCAGAGTGAAGCCACTTGGCACAGATTGACTTTGAACTCTGTTGTACATGCACAATAAATTATCACGTTCTTACTCAATTCCATTGCTTATAGCAGTGCTTAGAAGGAAAGTGTGTAGAGTATAGTTGTCTTACCACACCAGAGATTCCATCAGTGATCATGGCTTGTGCAGCAGTTTTTGGCCTAGAACAACATTCCCCATATACAACAACCACCATATTTTCACACCTTGCAACATTTTCCTCTTCAAAAATTAAATCCTGCTTGAGAGGAAGATTTCAAGATGTCAAGGAAATTCAAGAGAACGTGATGCAGCAGTTCCTTGCTATTCCAAAAAAGGAGTTCCATGAATCATTCCATCAAGCGAAACAATGCTGGATAAAGTGTATGGATTCAGAAGGGGACTACTTCAGAGACAATTAAATGCTAAATTGATATTTGTTGTTTTTTTTCTTTTTATAGCACCAGTCCTGATACTTTTTGATCACACCTTGTATTCGATCTGAGCTCAAATGTAACTCTGATATATTCACTAATCTTGTAACCTGAATTCATCTTAAAGTGTCAGAATTCTCATGGGTACCCACTCTTAAATATGAATTATTACATTATTCATTGTGTATGTATATCTCATGGGAATGTGACCAAGTAATTAGCATTCCAACAATGAGACACAAGTTCTAAACTCACCACGGCAGTCAGTTGTGTAACTTTTTGATAGTATCAACATAGATGCATCTAGTACTGTTAGAAAGTGCATAAGGACTCTACTGCTTTTGGCATGAAATTAGGTAGAGGAAACTGTTTGGAATTTGTTGATAGTCATGAATCACCATGACCAAAAGTCTGAGTACACTAGCTTCATTCAACTATTAATCATATTTGATGTATAACCTCTCACAGAAATGCTGTATATAGTCTGCTCAGTATAAACCAAAAATTGGCTCACTGAGTGTTGAAGAAACAGATATATACCTGAGTAGCTGTCTACAACAGTTATTAGCTGGTTGCCCTAGTGTCCTGGGACTAAAAATGCCTATTACAGGGTGCGAGTGCTACTTGAGGACATTTTTAGTATGTTAAATAAATAGCAATATCTTAGCAAACAATGTATATATTTAATTCAAATTGACATAAATATCCTTCATGATACTTCTTTATCTAATTATTCTATGAAACCACCTTTGACTTCAATGACTGCTTCTATTTGGGCTTGAAACCATCCAAAAGCTGCAATTAAGTGGTCCCTATTGATTTTAGACATCACCTGGACAATGGCGGCCTTCAGTGCAGCTATGGTAATCTGAGGATGTTGATTACTCTCCTTTTTAACGATGCTCCACACATAATAGTCCATAGGATTTAAATCTGGCGAGTTACGAGGCCACATGTTGGGGGTCACATGATTGTAAAAATTCTCTGATAACTAATCCTGGGTTACAATGGTTTTGTGAGAAGGTGCAGAGTTTTGTTGAAAGACATATGACCTTCCATTTCTTACTTTATTTATCCCGAGCTTAACAACCCTTTTAAGTACATTGTGGGAAAATGTAAGGTGGGCTTTACTGCTCACAACTCCTAAAACCATCACAGTAGCCAGATATTTGGTGTGCATCACCCTGGGTACTTCAGAAGGAGATGCACATAGCCACCTGTCATTCCTTCTGTTTGTTTTCTGATCTTAGTCAAAGTTTTTTTTTTGTCAGAGAAAAACCAAAGCATGCCATGTTCATAGGGATTTTTCACTTTGTTCAGCAACAGTTTTGAACGCATGAGATGGTTTTCCTGTGTCTTCACCAATATGAATTGGCCTTTCCTCATTACATATGACTTGTATCAAATGTCCTGATGTACCATGGTTCTGGTAGTCCACTCTGATACCTGGAGTTCTTTGGTGATGAACCTCATTGATCTTCCGGGGTTCTCATCAATGATGTTTTGAACATTCCGTACAAATTCTGGTGTTCTCACGGTATCAGAGCACTGTGAGTGCTTTTTTCTTTTTGCTACAGGGGAATGATTGCCATTACATCCCTCTAGCTCCAACCAAACCTTATAAACAGATGATCTAGCAACATGTAAAAAGTTACTGATTTTTAAATCACTATGTTTTGCATCTAAAGCAACAATGGCTGCATATCTTTTCATTTCTTGGGTTAACATCTTCCTCTGACTGGGTTATTTGAAATAAAAAAATAATATTATAAATGATTTGAATGTGTACTGAACTTAAATCAATATGTCCTCAAATAAAACTCACACCCGCTATATGTTTACTCACTAGAGGTTCGGACATGCTGGTATATATACTGAGAGGTAATCATTCCATGTTGCCACCTACAGCCATCAGTGACAGATTGTTATACCCAGATCCCTGCAAAGTGAATTTCTTTCTTACTTTCATATATTTCTTTATATTTAAGCTATTGCCATGACTTCTATAACAAACAGTTTTCTCCTACTTCCAAAACAATTTTTTTCTAGAAAATTGGTTAATGACTATGAAATTTAAATTTATTTGGTTCTTTCTTCTTTATGTGTTGTGTACCCTAAGGATGTAGGTGATCATGGCTCTTCACAATTTCCTGTTCTTTGTAGCTTTTAATAAATTTTGTCTTTTTTGTTATTTCTCCAAAACCCTGTTCTGCCATCAAGCTCATCAAATATGTTATCTGCTGTTTTCCACTGTCCCACTTGACTTCAATCTGTCCTGAGAGTATCCAATTTTCCAAGCCCTCTTTCCTTATTATCTGTCCTAGAAATTTCAACTGTCGCTTCCTGATGTTAATTATAAGTTTCTTTTTTGTTTCCATCTACTGCTCCAGAAAGTATGTGACACAATCTATCATCCTGTATCTTTACAAGGGTCAGATCAGACCAGAAACAGAGCACTGTCACCCTACCTTGGCTTGACAGTGTTAAAAATCACTTATGCAGGCATGCAAGTGATGTATTATTTTCCATGCTAGATCCCCATTTATACAGATGAATCATTGCAATGTCTTCACTATTCTATCGATATATCCATGGCAAATGTTCATGCAAATGATTGGGTTGATCAAAAAGTTTCTTCACTTATTCAGTAGAAAATTTACTTAATAAAACCAACTGAACATTTTGGTCAACTCAATAGATTCCTTAGTTACACCAGTTCAGACATATACAGCTAAGACTGCCTTACACACAGGGTTAAATCATCCTTATTCCCTCTGTATTTTAATGTAAAGGAGGAAATTCCTTTCAGACATCTTTTACTCAAAAACTGCTACTTTATGGAACAGACTCCTGGGAATATGCTTTCACAATTGCTTCATTCTAAACACTTCATGATTAGCGTCAGCTATTATCTATCCTATATATACCCATAACATGTGTTCGTCTTACATCCATAAAACCTCATTCATTAACCATCTAACATAAGTTGTTCACCTGCCTTGTGCTATGAGAACATTTAGTAAGAAAAAAACTGAATAAATAAAAATAGAAAAAATAATTTATTCTCCAAGTCAAAAGTTAACCAATCAAGATACAGCTTTGGGGCTATCCTCAAACTGATCTATTTTTTGTACCAAAGGATCAAGTAATTTGGTAGTTGTTACTTGGCTCAAGGGCTGGGAAAATCACTGAAGCTCAGTATCAGCTAACACACATGCAAACTGCAGTTCAGTTATAATAATAAATTTAAAGATGTAACACACTCTGCTTCTTTCTTTCGCAATATACCTTACAGCCAAACTATTCAGACAGTATCCACCAATCCTGATCAAATATAAGAACTAAAAAAATTTACTTACTCAGCATATTTTCAATACAAAGACAAATCAACAACACAAAAAGAACTGAAAAGAATTATTCAGCATCTTTTTTGGCACAACTGCAAAGTATAAAAATATCAACACCTTGCATATAATCTTCAGTAATTCTAATCCAGTATACTTCTTTATAAAAAAAAATGCAGAAATCTGTTTCTTCTTGAAGCTGAATCCTGGTAATCTAATGTAGGTGTTCTACGTTAATTTATTTTGACATAGAAGTATAACAGCAAATACTCATAATCACATATTGTTTATACAGTGTGAAAAGCAGTTGTTCCCTTGTTTACATACTTCTTCAATGTGCCATGTTCCTTCAGGACTATTGGCTGTCATAGCTCTCCACAATTTCCTCTCAGAGCCACATCACATTGAAACACCAATTCCCATACGATCATTGAAGTTAAACAATTTTGAGCCTGATCAATACCTAGATGGATGACTACTTGGGAATTCCGGGTGCTGTGAGCTGTGGGTGTCATAATGGATAAAGCTTGAGAAGTTTTAATTGGAGGGCTGAGTTAAAATTCTCATTAGGTTTATTATATTAACTTATGGGCAAATACTCTTGGGAACGGTATGAATCAACCTCTTCTTCCCAAGCTATGGGCTAATTAGTAAAACCATATTATCTCCAAAAAATATTTTCTTGTTTTAAATAAACCTGAAACCCCATAGAAAATGACTGAATCAATCGGTCAGTGAAATTTCCTGTTCTTTGTTACTTTAAATAAATTTTATATTTTTCTTATCTCTCCTAAATCTTGTTTTGCAATAAATTTACTCAAGCTTGCTAGCTAGGTTATTTGTTCTTTTCCTCTGTCCCTCTTGCCTTCAGTATGTCCTGTGAGTATTAATTTTTCCAAACCTATTTTTGTCATTAAGGACCTGAAAAATTTCAACTATTTCTTTCTGTTCTTAAGTATAAGAGTCATTTTTGCTGCCATTTTCTCTAAAACTTTTTCATTGCTCAAATCTTCAGTTCTGAGGAGATTGTCCCGTATTCACTGTCATATAGAAGGACTGATATTAAATAGCCATTCAGTACACTTTTCTTTGTTTCTAATGAAATATTTCTATTTCTTAATACTTTGCTTAGAAGTCATCTTTCACTATCCCAATGCACCTCTGGATTTCAATGTTGTACTTTCTGTGCTCTCTTAAAAAACTTCCAAAATATTTAAATTGTTTTATTTGTTTGATTTTGATATCTCCAATTTGTAATTTGCATGTTGAGTTGTCCCTTTTTCTAACAACCATGCATTCTGTCTTTTTGCAATTGATGCTTAGTCCTTTCTTCTCACTTTCCTTTCTGTAAGAGTTCCTGTAGTTTCCTTTCTGTGTGTGCTCTCAACAGACTGCCATCCTGGAATGACTTCTAATTACCTCAGAATTGCATCACTGTTTAGGTTGAATAAGTCTGGTGACAAACCACAACCTTGTCTTACACCTCATTCCATTTTTGTATATTTACTGAATTCATTTTCTATTTGATTTCAGGCTGTTTGCTGCAAATATATATCCTAGATTATTCTCATCTTCTTCTCAAATATGTCAAGGTCACTGAGTAGTTCCAACAGTTCTTTGTGACATACTTTTAATGACAAATACTAACCATCACAAAATGTACAATGTGACCTGCAGTTTTCCCTTGTTTTATACTTACCGCACTCTAAAATGGAAAACAGAAAATATTACGATCACTGTTGTATGCAAGATTACAATACAATCTTTATACAAAGTTTTGATTGATTTATTGAATGATATGTTTTATGGCTTATCAAACATTTGTAGGTTATTTAGTGTCAGAACACATGTTAGATTCTTTTGGGAAATAATCATGATTTTCTGATCTTAGTTCTACTAATTAACCCATATCTGGGGGTGGGAAGAAAAAGTTGATCTATACCTTTCCCAATGGTATTTACATGTAAACAAATATAAAGAACCCAACTATAATTTGGACTCCATTCCCTAATTTCCAATTTGGAGTCATTATCCATATACACCAGCTGCACATCCAAGCTTACAATATCTGGTATTCCTATGTAATCGCCCATCTGAGTACTGACTAGGCTTAACATTGCTTAACTTTGGAGACTGTATAAGAATCCATATTTCAATGTAATATGGCCACAAGCCACAAAGTTTTATATGGCTTAATTGAATATTGAATACTGTAAATGGGCATAATATATTTTACTGTACTGTATGTAAAAGTCAAATAACTTACCTTCTAACATGGCTACCTCCTTGTGTCTCCTTGTAGAAAGGCAGGCCAGCTAATTTACCTCATTTATAGGAGATTACTTAATACAACAGGTGGGTTAGTCCACTTTACTATAATGGACCTGTCCAACACATTTGCATGAGTGGACTCTATTCACTCATATATCTCTCTGTTAAATCACTCAGTGGATGCATTTTCACTTGGAGTGACTACACCAGTTTACTTGCATTTAACACCACTTGCAATTAACCAATATTCAACATTGTACAAAAGGAACAGCCCAACAGGCAAATCACAAATTGGAGACACCAAAATCAATCAAGTTCAAAAATGTAAATATCTAGGAAGTGTTTTAAAAGAGGGCACAAACTGCAACACTGAAATCCAAAGACATATTGAGATAGTGGAAGATTCATTCCGAAAGCTAAGCAAAATATTAAGAAAAATGATGTTAGAAATAAAGAAAAGAGTATGGAACTGTTATATAATATCAGTCCTCCTATATGGCAATGAATGCTAGACAATCTCCTCATAAATGAAGAATAGACTTGAAGCAACAGAAATGTGGTTCTTCATCATCTGTTTTATCATTGTTATCCATATCCAAAGATTCAAAACAAAGTATGGTAAATCCTTGTTATTTTGATGCTAGCTCTGTGGACAACATATTGTGAACTAACAATATATAACTATCTCCAGAGACCCTGACTTTGAGTCAATGGATGTATTTCCCTCTGGTTGCATCTAACATACCAGTCCTAGGCTGTTGGAGGGATCCCCTGATTACCACTGTCACATCAATCCAGAGCTCTCCTGATCATATGGCAAGGTTGTGGATGGGGGCTAGAAATGTTTTGCGTGACATTTTCATGTTAGATTTATCAGACTGCTCTTGCAAGGGGATATAGGAAAAAAGTGTTAGTCCACTTTGGAAGAAAGTTCATATTAGAAACAATAAATATATATTCTGAAAGAATCCTACTAACAAGTCCTACATAAGAATGCATGGAATATGGAGGTTATATTTCCTATATGACAACAGAGATAACAATATTACACATGGTTGAATGAGAGCAAAGCATGTCATCTTATCATCAAACTGAAGTACATGCCAGAGTTACATGGTATTGACCATGAAAAAGTATTAAAAACAACCAAATTATTACATTAGTCTGTCAAAAATGCTGTTAAAACATTACCATTTTTATGTTCTATCAGTCAAGTGATTAGATGAAATGGGCTTTTTTTTTAGTTGAAGAAACCTTATCCCTTGTTCTCCCCTTCATTCTGTCTTTTATTTTTATTTCTTTACTTTAACTCACCTAATACAAGGCCCAAGAGCCACTCAAGGTAGAGGGTTACTGAATGAGGTTGTTTTAAGAGTTGGGTAGATATCATTTGACAATAGGCATGAAGACATTAAGATTTTAATGGTTGGGAAAGCAACCTCTAAGAGTTTGTTTCACAGAGTAACAGTTCTAATAGTTCTATAATCTATTGTTTTCTTATAGTTCTATCTTTACCTAAGATGGAAGATAATAGTCTGTTCTATAAGCTTCTTATTTTATTTCTAAATCTTATGACTAAAGGAAAAGTCAGATTTTAAAACAGTAAATTATTGACCAAGAAATAACCAAAAGTAATTCTTCAGAAGTCATGGTGCTTATTTTTATGCTTGGCCTGTTGGCATGATTTCTTGATAGTACATTACATACTGAAATCTGCTTATAAATCTTTTTATTCTCAAGTGGATTATGTTTTCAGACTATTTATTGTAGATTATGCATTAATCTGTAGATATGTCTAAACATTAGAAAAAATACTTCTGAAATAAAAATCATATGTGCCAAAAAATTTCATTTAATATTTGGAAGAAACCAATAAGCCTTAACAAAAGGTAGGAGTTGGATGGTTCAACTTTGTCTGAAGCTACATTTATTAAATATATTAGGAGGCATGGTGGAGTAATAGATAGCAGCTCAGACTGAGGAATTGGGGAGCCGAGTTTGAATTCCAGTCACTACATTCACTTAGGTGCTAATACCCTTCTTCTCCACCCAGCTATGGGTAAATAGCAAGACAAACCAGGTTCTATAGCCTTGGATGGCAACTGGTCTACTGCAGAAAGAAATGGCAACCTACTACAGGAAAAAAAATCTGCCTCATCAGTCATGTATCAAAAGATACATGATCGTCTAGTGTATCATGCATGGCACAACTGACTGAATATTAACCTTTTCCATACAAGGAAACATTTGTCTGAGCACTCGGTACTACTTTTGGTTGAAATTTATAAAGATCTTCCTCTTAAAACAGGTTTTCAAGAAAACAGGTTTCTCAAATCTATAACTAATCACTCTTTCCTGTATTGATGGAGGTTTCCTCCTTAACTTTTTATTTGAAGTTGTGTGAAATGTCAACATTTTTGTTATGTCATTATTTTCTTTTCAAGTTACACATATTATCCATTTTAGTTGTTGCTTCTGTTGGTAGTCCTCAAGTAATGTGTTTTTTTTGTTGTTTGGTACAGTTCTCCACATTCATCATTATAAAATACCGTTCAGAAATTAGTTCTTCCCAGTTCTTTATTCAAATTAACTATTTCTCTTTGTGATGCTTACTTCAGGGAATAAATTTCACAAGAAAAAAAAGTTTGTTCACCTGGAAGATTTGATCTAAGAAGAATTGATATGACATCCATATGTACTGGGGTCATGACATCCTAAGAAATACCAAAGTAAGCTTTATATTTGGCAACACCTCAAAAGAACTTGGTGCCTCAAATGTTGACATGGATGATGAACTCACAACCACCAAGTACAAAATTGGGTCTCAAAGGATGTGAGTGGGTGCACTGACATAAACAGGGTCAACCCAGATGAACTTAATATATACAGACACAAGACAAACAGATGAAAGGAACAAACTTTACTAAAAGCTATAAAGGACAGTTGTGGAGAATCATGATAACCAATATCCTGAAGTACCACAGCTCTTAGAAGAGAAACCAAGATGTGGAGAAAAGGGAAACTCTTATATCTTAACAAAACTAAGATTAAACTCTCAAAGTCCTCAAAACAGGAAGTACACTATGGCGGATGTTAATCTGACAGGGTCCAGAAATAAATAAGTAGTTATTTTATGTATGAAAAATGTTTCATATGCTTATCAGACCTTACTAACATTAAATTTTGATCTGAATATGTTCGTTGAGTGAATACACCTCTTTCTGCTGGTAT